ACACACACACACACACACACACACACACACACAACACACATACATAATACATACATACATACATACATACATACATACATACATACATACATACATACATACATACATACCCACAGATATAGACAGACACTCTATCCACATATACAGCTTTTGAACACATCACAAACATTCACCTTCACATACTTAACACAAATTCATTTTCGTGATAACGTTGTTAATGTGGCGGTGATATCTGCGATGGCATTTATTGTTGTAAAAGGTGCAATGCGATTAATGCTTCCCAGCAAATCGCATTTACTTGAAAATCATTCCTTACTATAATGTACATCTACTAGTGTGTCGTGTGTCTCCTCCTCCGCTCCCTTCTATTAAACTGTTGTTATTGATGTGGTCGGTCGTTACAATTACTCACAAGGTTATCACTTATTTGATATGACTAACATCTTGGATGAATGACGGGAGTGGAGATGAATCAGCTTGGAACAATGATTGAATGCTTAAATTTATCTTTTCTCCTCAATTTTTAAAAAGATGAAGTGCTGAGATTTAAATGAATTCTATATTTCAGAACTTTTCATACTACGAATTGAAACATTAAATTTACACTTTTATTCTTCTGCTCATTTCTATATATGAATAGTTGTTTAACTAAGAAAATGAAGAGATCTGAAAGACAAAGTAATTCTTTGCAGCAAAGTTCCTTTCTCATTATTCATATTCACAATTGACAATACTCTAACAGATAATGATTTTTTGCGGTTATCATGGTAATGTCTTCTAATAGGCATTCTCGTCTTCCGATAGTAAATTTAAAGCTGATTTTATTCATTGGATAAAATTTTTGTGTAGCCTTATGCTTACAACTACTCGATAAATTATAACTATGAAATGTATTATACACTGTGTTTCATAACGAAACATGACGATAGTAGAGGAGTAATAATTCAATGAGTTAAACAAATGAATGAAAATGGTTGTGAAATAGATGACTACTGCATTTGGAGGATTGATTTTACTAGCATTGAGCGAGTTTCTTATTTATCATTTCAAATGAGGTTCAAACTTACATCCTAAGCAATTACTACTACATAAGTAAAAGAGAAATAACGAATAGATCAAGCGACAATGTATCAAGGTAAGTGGCAGATTATCAGTAGATGAATGGGGGTAAGTGGCAGATTATCAGTAGATGAATGGTGACAAGCAAACTTCTGGTAACAAGCACTGAAAAGTAATAAATGGAGTGATCAATTTCAAGTAGTTATTAGTCGAAGAGCCTATAGCTACTGTCAGATGATTAAAAGTAACATGTTCGATAAAAATGTTCCACTATTTATTATTCGAAGAATTGTGCATGTTAGAAACTGCTTTCGACCGAACAATTTGCAGAGCATCTGATAATTTAAAAAGCTAGTAATTAGGACGAGTAATTGATGATGAGAATAGAAGCCGTAATTCCCACAGTTTAGAAGTAATTTATGAGAACTACAAGTTAACAAACTTTCCATAACTCCTTCTCTATATCCATTGTGAATTTATCCGTTCTGGGATGAATACATTTTCTAGAACTGCAATACGAATGCTCCTTATGTGCGTAAAAAGGAACTTCATCAAGATTAATGACCCTTTCTGCTCGAAGTGTACTGTCAACATTTTTTTTTATTTCAACGTCCATCTCAGACATGAATTGAAAAAAAATTCAGCTAACTCTACCTGAACTTGTTTATTCGTTTAATTGCTTCAGAGATATTCACTGTTTTCTCTGAAAGCAAGAAGAAAGCATAATTCTCGTCACGCATGCTTTTTTGCCATGTATTCAGCTTCTTCGCGATTAAAGCAGCATATGCAGTTCCCCTTATTACCACACTCATTATTATACCGTTGTGAAAGAAAGGCGGGAAGTATATGAATGTATTGCACGCTTCGCTTTTACAATCACTTTTCCAAGTTTAAAGATAGCGTTGAAAATATTTGCAAAAATAAATTCGAGATGAAAAGATTGCCCTAGCATCGATCATTTTGGAAAGACTGTGCAGAAAAAAACAAGGTGCATTATTTAGGAATATCAAATAACCAAATTATAAACGAACAATTATCGACATTGTATTCATAATGTGATAGTAAAATAATGAAAACAACTAGGCAGATTGTCGAAAGTTTTCATTTTTCGGTCATTCCTTTCAGTCTTTTCCAAATCAGCATTTTAATTCAAGTTAATTTCTGTTTTAAAAAAGTTCCATTCGTAATGCAAAAAACTTTCTATTAAGCTGCACTTCATGCCACCACTATAAACCAAAATATGGGAAGCATGAAACAGTGATTGTCAAGGTGATGAAAGTCTGATATTTAATGCATAGTAAATATGTTTTTATTTTTAAAGTTGTATGTATTCGTTCTATCCTTTAGTGCTGTGAAGGCCAGTGGTGATTTTAGGGACAAAAACTTTAAAATGACTCGAATGAATTCTGCAGCAGTTTCGTGGTAATCCAATGGTAATTACGGTATATGCAAAAAAAAAAGATGTAAGCATAAATGCATTAATAAATTCCTATGGGAGCTACGGTAATTGTCGGAATGATAAAATAAACCGCAGATTTATCAGAATGACTGTAAGAAAGAACCAGGAAATGTTTAAACATTCTACAATTATTTCGAAGTTCATCCTATGTTATCCGCCAGCAAGTGAGCAAACTTTGAAGTTGTGGAGAACCCCGGAAATGAAAATAAATATATACCATATGTAAAGATGTCGGCGATAATGCTCGTACTACTTTGTTGAAGTGTTCTGCCACATTTTACCATATTCCTTATCAATAAATATTTCATTTTGTTGAACTGCAGATGAAACCGTATTAATCATTTGGTAACATTTGCTCTTAGAAGAAGTCAACTAATGAAATTCACTCCACTCCTGTCCTAATAATTAAGTAAGGTGACCTTCGTCAAATTTTTCTTCGCATCAGTAATACTGCGAAATACTATGATCTGTCTATTCTGAATTATCTCCTAACAAAACTAAGGTGATACATGGATTTCAAAAACTTCAATAATTAGAAGTTATCCTGGTAAATTTTATCACTTCCAAAGTTGCACACATAAAAATCTTTGTCTCATTAGGCAAAACGTAGATCAATTGTAATTGGATAAATTGATAAATAGCTTCAAATCTATTAACTTTTGACAAATATAATCAGTAGCTAATCAATGGATGTACTTTTTTTTAGATTATATATATATATATATATATGCGTGCACAGCTGTGTTGTGTTGGTGTGCATGTGTGTGCGTGCATGGTGTGCACGCTCCCTGCCTTATGAGAGTGGAAATAAAGACCCAATTTGAAAGAAAATAAAGCAATTTATTAATACATGTTAAACCATTAGAAAACCACTTTACTTTTATTTAACAAACTATAAGTTACGGTTCAACAGAAATTCCATGTGCGTATCAAACTTATCACCAACATAACACTTTCACAAACATTTATGTTGACATTTAAATTGAGCTCATGCAAAAAAACTCCGAGAGTTTTTTGTGTCACTGAAAGGCAAGTTGATTAGCAATTATCTCAGATAGCCAGTCATCCGCTTCCGTTCACGGCTTCAAAGGACTAGGTGTCAATCCTCATCCAAAAGATTCCTGAACGACGAGAATAACATCCATGAAGTGATGAATATCCTGGACAAGCCTGGACATCTTAGACTTCTGGTCGAAACAAAACATCCATCACCATGCTTATCATAATTTAAACATCCATTACCATTTCAGATCTCTGTCATAATCACATAAAACAGGTCAACGAATAAATTATTTTGTGGTACTATACAAATTAACAGGGATAATCCAAAAGGCAAAACACTGTTGTGCTGCAGTCATATTATCAACTGAGAAAAAAGACTTTTCCTGTGATTTACGAATTAATAACAGATAATTAATAACGAACGGATTAACTTCACTGAATACATTGAGGTTTCCTGTTCACAGCAATCACTGATTGAATCGGCGTTGTAATATACTGACATATTCATGAGTAGATAAAAAATAAACAGACCAAAAAGTAGACAAACGATTGACCTAAATACTGTACTGCAGAAAATCACAAAAATTAACGGAGTAATTAATCAAAAAAGACGAATAAAAGAAAAAAGATGGAATATCCTACTAGCTTGAACTGATTACCATATAATTTGAAAAAAAAAAAGAAAAAACAACTTTGTTATGAACCATTTTGGCACTGCTAATATTTCAACATCTCAACAGCAGCAAAGAAATGAGGAAACAACTGTAACAGATCATACATGTTTAAGTGAGATTTATGAAGCAAGTCAAAAAATAATTGATATTTTAGCTTATTGGATCGAATTTTAAGAGCACTAAGAAAATCTGTGTTCCCCAAATGATTCCGATACGGAAGTCTTCAACTTCACTTTATCCATTTTCTAAAATTTTATAGTTGATATAAACAAAATAATATTGACCTGAATTTCATTTTCAGGGTGAGGTTATCCAGCAGTGAATTGTTTTGCAAATGTCGCTTCTCTGACATGCCATATTCCAATTAACTAATGGCTCCTTTATGAGCTAAAAACTCCAATAAGGTTTCAATTTCCACATTTATGTTGGCAGTAGCACGACCGATTCGTTGCGCGATTTCATTTGTTTCACCATCATCAAATGATCGACCACAGAACGATGCCACCATTGCTTGCGCATTTGCATCATCACTTAAATTTACATCATTTAAAAAATAAACACTCCATCTACCTTCTCCATTGTTTAGAAAGAATAACTTCGACTCGTGATTACTGCAGACATTCCTCTGGCTCTGGCTTCTGGCAATATCAACAGAACATTTCCCTCTTTATCTCGCATAAATCAATGAATAATGCTTCTTGACGCGTTTGATTTATAATACTAAAGTAATTAATTGTAACCTGGCAACGGATATATTGCTCCCGTTCTTATGCTTATCCGAATGCCTTAGTAATAACTTATCACGTAATTCGAGCATGTCAATGAAGCTACGACGTTTGCTTGGCGTCGAACGGATTTTATGCGGTGTTGCTGTCAGATCCAACTAAAAATTTAAAAAAGATCTTGAGTAGCTCTATAAGGAATTCAAATTTTTCAATGAATTCTTCCAAAAAAAAAAGGTGAAAAGTTTGCCAAAAAGACCTGAGATACCCGACAAGATAACGAAAAATATTTTTGAATAAAATATTTCTTATTAAAACTTTTCAGGATGTCCTCATCAGAACTTTCGAATATATCTCAACCAATGAAATAATATAATTCGCACTTGTTTCAATGCATTGTTTAACTCGCCACACTTTGCTCGAATCTCGGAATAGTGCAGGATAGTGTTTTTAACGATTTCATGTATTTCGGCAACCCAAAACTTCATTGATAAACCGAGAGCACGCCTACACTCGTTGATAAATGACTGAGATTGTGCTACTGCTTTATCAAGATTGTGACTATTCCATAACTGAATATGAATCGCTTAGAGATTTTCTGCACCGTATTTAGGCTAACCTACCGCAGTATTGATTAGCTCTCGAGTTACTCAAATTGTTATAGGCTTTTTTTTTACCTTAGCAACGTCCAACAAAGGAAACAATTCAGAAAATATATGTATAGGTACAAACAAACAAATAAATAAACAAATAAGTGTAAAAATATAAATGTAAATATAGACACAAACATAAATATAAAAGGATATAAAAATATAAATGCAAAAATAATATAAATATAAATAAATAAATAAATAAATATAATACATATATAAACCTGTAGATATTCTCCTTTGTGATCAGCGTGCGGAGTCCAGTCCATTACCGCAGACCAGTCCTTGAGCAATAATGGTTCGACCTAAATATTACCATGCTAATCCAAAATCAGTAATTTCAAAGAAAACCAGCATAGCTTTCAAAGAAAAAAGTGCTGTACGTTTACTGACATGAAGCAGTCCTTTTCTATATAATAATTATATCACAAGGAGAAAATTCAAAAGTGAAATATAATGACTAGTAAGTTTATTTGGTGCAAAGTAGAAATCACAAATTTCCGTCAAGTTCTTCACGAAAATTCAGATATAATCACGTCTCAATAGAAACAGCAATGAACTAATAGAAATAAAATTTGGCAAAACTTAGTGAAAACGAAAAAGAAGCAAACTTTTATGCCAGCTTGAAGCATGCAGAGAATACCCTGTTTGGTATATAGATCACCGCGATTCAAATGTGGATACAAAAATTTGACAGTCATTTTAACATCCACTTTACTAAGCTCCTTGCGAATTTTAGATAGTAATAAACCAAGCAACTTTGCGCAAGCTTTATTGCTCTTACATTCATCCACTACTTCACATTTCGGATCACAATCCTGGTGAAAACATGGACTTTTGGATACATATATCACTGCCTCGAACAAATCCACCTGCAAGTTTGCATGGTTTGCAGATCACCTTCTTCTTTAAGTTTATAAACAGATTTAGATCTTTATAAAGTATGGAAAAATGCCAGGTGATTCAAGAATGAGTAAAATGAAGACAAAGAAATTTTTTTACTCTAAGCCAAGCGATAAGGAGAAAAATAAAGGTAATAGACCTTATATTTGGAAATGAGATCATAAATTGCAGCAACAAGTTGCTCTTCAACATGAAGCTCACTTCGGCTTTCATGATAGAAATCACCCCGATATATGTAATCATCACCGATTAATGTCAGAATCAATCCACTGGTCTCATTCTTGTGTTCCAGGAAGCAACTCTGCACATGTTTCGGGAGATGAAATTTTGATGGTCCATTTGTGCAGTCACCGTTGCATTTGCAACTAAAATATAAGTTTACTTCCACAGTCACATCCTGTAGTCCAATCTGATCTGAACTTAGTTCCTGCATTTCCAACCGATCTGAATTCAATTTCTCACTAATAAAGCAATGACAATAAAAAGAGGTTGTAATAAGTCATACCTGCTATTACAGAACTCATACATTGTGCGACATGGGCATTCTTTCTTGACGCATTGCTTTTTCCCTTTAGTGCACTGGCAACCTTGTGTTGATTTTGCACTCTGCAATATTTCTGGGTTATGGAGCAATAGCATTAGGCAGGAGAGGAATATCCGTCACCGTTATACTAAATACCTTTTCATAGTGTCCCTTTTGGGTTTGTCCAAGATTACTGGCTAAAAGGGCAGCGATTTTTTAAAAAGATGATAAGAGGATGAAGCGTTATCTACAACATTCAATTTAGGTAGTAATAATTTGGATATTATCTATTCCTCAGGAAAATCTGGTTTAAAGTTCCAGGTTTTCTATAAAAGCGCGAAAATGCCAAACTACTATATCACTCGACGTGTATCCATACCTTGAGGACTTTTTTCTGTGGCTCTTTATTCTTGCATATCTGTTTACAGGCACAAAGTTTACTACATGGTTCCTTGATCCGCAAGCAATCACATCGTTCCGATTTAGAACATGCATTTTTTGCTGGTCTTGCTGGATCAGTCTCACACGAACATTTGCATATTGCTTGATTGAGGCAGTCACCACGGTACCT